AGCTAACGGCTAACGGCTAACAGCTAACAGCTAACAGCTAACGGCTAACAGCTAACAGCTAACGGCTAACGGCTAACGGCTAACAGCTAATGGATAACGGCTAACGGCTAACGGCTAACGGCTAACAGCTAACAGCTAATGGATAACGGCTAACAGCTAATGGATAACGGCTAACAGCTAATGGCTAACGGCTAACAGCTAACAGCTAATGGATAACGGCTAACAGGACCTGGTCCTAAGACATATAAATACATCATATTTACAATATACATTTATTATAAAATCAAAGACATGTGCCACGCCCCTTTCCACAGGACACTGTTGGTTCTAGACCCGCTGAGGGGAAAAAGGTTCTTACATATTATCATTTGTGTTCAAGGTCTGGGCTGTAAATCTTTCTGGTCATTGACTGCTCGTGACCATGTGCGGCACCAGCAGAGCTCTGTGATGCTGCTCTGTGATGCTGCTCTGTGATGCTGCTCTGGGATGCTGCTCTGTGATGCTGCTCTGTGATGCTGCTGTGATGCTGCTCTGGGATGCTGCTCTGTGATGCTGCTCTGGGATGCTGCTCTGTGATGCTGCTCTGTGATGCTGCTCTGTGATGCTGCTCTGGGATGCTGCTCTGTGATGCTGCTCTGGGATGCTGCTCTGGGATGCTGCTCTGGGATGCTGCTCTGTGATGCTGCTCTGGGATGCTGCTCTGTGATGCTGCTGCTGCTCTGTGATGCTGCTCTGTGATGCTGCTCTGTGATGCTGCTCTGTGATGCTGCTCTGGGATGCTGCTCTGGGATGCTGCTCTGTGATGCTGCTCTGATGCTGCTCTGTGATGCTCTGTGATGCTGCTCTGTGATGCTGCTCTGGGATGCTGCTCTGTGATGCTTGCTCTGGGATGCTGCTCTGGGATGCTGCTCTGTGATGCTGCTCTGGGATGCTGCTCTGTGATGCTGCTCTGTGATGCTGCTCTGTGATGCTGCTCTGGGATGCTGCTCTGGGATGCTGCTCTGTGATGCTGCTCTGGGATGCTGCTCTGGGATGCTGCTCTGTGATGCTGCTCTGGATGCTGCTCTGTGATGCTGCTCTGGGATGCTGCTCTGTGATGCTGCTCTGGGATGCTGCTCTGGGATGCTGCTCTGTGATGCTGCTCTGGGATGCTGCTCTGGGATGCTGCTCTGTGATGCTGCTCTGGGATGCTGCTCTGGGATGCTGCTCTGTGATGCTGCTCTGGGATGCTGCTCTGGGATGCTGCTCTGTGATGCTGCTCTGGGATGCTGCTCTGTGATGCTGCTCTGTGATGCTGCTCTGTGATGCTGCTCTGTGATGCTGCTCTGTGATGCTGCTCTGGGACTGGTCCCTCGGATCTGAGCGGATGAATAAAAATAAAGATGAACTGAAATAGAAAAAAAATGGCGACTCCAAAGATGTGACAAAAACATGTGTTTCCAAAACAGGAAGTAAAAGCCATGGATTATGTCGGTCCTGGTCGGTCCTGGTCGGTCCTGGTCGGTCCTGGTCGGTCCTGGTCCAGGTTTAACGGTTAGAGCCAGATCTGAAAATAAAATCAAACAGAATTATTCTAATCAGAAAAAAAAACATGTATTTATTTATTTATTTTCATTGGAGTTTTCTGTTGTTGATGATGTTCATTGATTTCTTTCTTTTTTTTTAAACAAAGAAGGAGCCAAAAGCAGAACTAAAATTATGTGAATTCATGAATGGCACAAACAGGAAGTAAATCTCACAAGAGCACAAATAAATGAGTAAGAAATTATTATTATGATAAAAAGTCCACCTTTGATATTTTATCTTGTTTTATTTCTATAATATTTAAGCTTGTTTTGTTGTTTGCCACAGACTGGGGACTCTTGCACGTCTATTCCAATGTGGTTTTACTGCAAACAGCAAAGAAAAGGAATCTAAATCTAAACCTTTCTACACATTGACTCTTTAAATGGAAACCACAGCGAGACAATAACAAGACCACAGCAAGACCAAAACAAGACCACAGTGAGACCATATAAGACCACAGCAAGACCAAAACAAGACCACAGCGAGACCATAGAAGACCACAGCAAGACCTTAACAAGACCACAGCAAGACCAAAACAAGACCACAGCGAGACCATAGAAGACCACAGCAAGACCTTAACAAGACCACAGCAAGACCAAAACAAGACCACAGTGAGACCATATAAGACCACAGCAAGACCAAAACAAGACCACAGTGAGACCATATAAGACCACAGCAAGACCAAAACAAGACCACAGCGAGACCATAGAAGACCACAGCAAGACCTTAACAAGACCACAGCAAGACCTTAACAAGACCACAGCAAGACCAAAACAAGACCACAGCGAGACCATAGAAGACCACAGCAAGACCTTAACAAGACCACAGCAAGACCAAAACAAGACCACAGCGAGACAATAACAAGACCACAGCAAGACCAAAACAAGACCACAGTGAGACCAAAACAAGACCACAGCGAGACAATAACAAGACCACAGCAAGACCAAAACAAGACCACAGTGAGACCATATAAGACCACAGCAAGACCAGAACAAGACCACAGCGAGACCAAAGTGAGACCCCAGCAAGACCAAAACAAGACCACATCGAGACCAAAACAAATCATACGTAATAATAGTATGAATGCATAAATAAACAAAAACAAAAAAAAAGAATAAAAAGAAACAGAAAAGAGACGAAAACATCAGAAACCTCAGAAACATCAGAAACCTCACATTTGCTCAAAGTCATATTTAATAATTATATAAAATAAAAATCTTTCAATCGTCAGAGAGAAGAATGTACTTGTTCTCATGAATTTGGAGACTTCTCTGTGTCACAGACCATGTCCGACCTAAACCAGTCCATCCTAGACCAGTCTAACCCAGTCCATCCTAAACCAGTCTAACCCAGTCCATCCTAGACCAGTCTAACCCAGTCCATCCTAGACCAGTCTAACCCAGTCCATCCTAGACCAGTCTAACCCAGTCCATCCTTGAGCAGTCTAACCCAGTCCATCCTAGACCAGTCTAACCCAGTCCATCCTAGACCAGTCTAACCCAGTCCATCCTAGACCAGTCTAACCCAGTCCATCCTAGACCAGTCTAACCCAGTCCATCCTAGACCAGTCTAACCCAGTCCATCCTAGAGCCCTGAGTCTAACCAGAGCTGGGAGACATGAAGCAGACTTAAACCCAAACAGAGCAGAATGTTTTCTCAGAGGAACCAAGAATCTCTGGGTTCTTTACACAGTGTTGTTTTAGGACTGACTTGTTCTTCTTCTTCTTATTATTATTATTATTATTATTATTATTATTATTATTATCATTCTGTTGTAGCTTTGCGCCTGAAGAAGTGAGGCCTTTAGACTGTTTTATTTCAAGTTCATAAACTGTATTTGTAGAAGAGTCCATAAGCTCCAGGTGTAAGAAGAGAAGAACCTGGACACATCTGATCTGTGACGTTTGTGACGTTTGTGACGTTTGTGACGTTTGTGACGTTTGTGACGTTTGTGACGTTTGTGATGTTTGTGACGTTTGTGACGTTTGTGACGTTTGTGACGTTTGTGACGTTTGTGATGTTTGTGATGGAGCTGTCAGTGTTGTTTCCACTGGACGCGACACCAGTGATGTCACACGTGGTGCTTTGATGTCAAAGTCCACGAGCGCAGAGAGAGAGAGAGAGAGAGAGAGAGAGAGAGAGAGAGACAGAGAGAGAGAGAGAGAGAGAGAGAGACAGAGAGAGAGAGAGAGAGAGAGAGAGAGAGAGAGAGAGAGAGAGAGAGAGAGAACAGAGAGAGAGAGAGAGAGAGAGAGAGAGAGAGAGAGAGGAGAGAGAGACAGAGAGAGAGAGACAGAGAGAGAGAGAGAGAGAGAGAGAGACAGAGAGAGAGAGACAGAGAGAGAGAGAGAGAGAGAGAGAAACAGAGAGAGAGAGAGACAGAGAGAGAGAGAGAGAGACAGAGAGAGAGACAGAGAGAGAGAGAGAGAAACAGAGAGAGAGAGACAGAGAGAGAGACAGAGAGAGAGAGAGAGAGAGAGAGAGAGAGAGAAACAGAGAGAGAGAGACAGGGAGAGAGAGAGAGAGAGACAGAGAGAGAGAGAGAGAGAAACAGAGAGAGAGAAACAGAGAGAGAGAGAGACAGAGAGACAGAGAGAGAGAGAGAGCGCCAGATCAGCTCCAGATGAGGGTTGACGCGCGAGTGGAACGTCGCTCTCGTGCGTCCCTCTGCCTCTCTAAGCCTCAATCTCTCTCTCTGCCTCTCTCTGGCTTTCTCTGCCTCTCTCTGCCTCTCTGTTTCTCTCTGCCTCAATCTCTCTCTCTCTGCCTCTCTGTTTCTCTCTGCCTCTCTCTGTCTCTCTCTGCCTCTCTCTGTCTCTCTCAGTCTCTCTCTGTCTCTCTCTGCCTCTCTCTGTTTCTCTCTGTCTATCTCTGTCTCTCTCTGTTTCTCTCTGCCTCTCTCAGTCTCTCTCAGTCTCTCTCAGTCTCTCTCTGTCTCTCTCGGTCTCTCTCGGTCTCTCTCGGTCTCTCTCGGTCTCTCTCAGTCTCTCTCAGTCTCTCTCTGTCTCTCTCGGTCTCTCTCAGTCTCTCTCTGTCTCTCTCTGCCTCTCTCTGTCTCTCTCTGTCTCTCTCTGCCTCTCTCTGTCTCTCTCTGCCTCCCTCTTCCTCTCTCTGCCTCCCTCTGCCTCCCCCTCCGCTTTGATGAGCTCCTCTCGGCTCGTCCCACAGCGCAGCAGCAGCACGGTCCGTTATGGGGGACACTGGAGCGACATTTACGCGGGGATTTGGGCAGAACGGCACGGGCGCAGAGGACACGGCCGCGTCCGAGGAGTGGATGGTGGTCATGAGTTTGGTGATGGGAATGATCGTTTTTGGAATAGTCTTTGGCAACATCCTCGTGATTGTGGCCATAGCGAGGACACAGAGACTTCAAACTCTCACCAACGTCTTCATCGTGTCTCTGGCCATCGCGGACCTCATCATGGGGCTCCTGGTGGTCCCCTTCGGCGCTGTGCTGGAGGTGCGCGGGTCCTGGATGTACGGCTCGTTCTTCTGTGAGTTTTGGATTTCTGTGGACGTCCTGTGCGTCACGGCCAGCATCGAGACCCTGTGCGTAATCGCCATTGACCGGTACGTGGCCATCACCTCCCCGTTCCGCTACCAGAGCCTGCTGACCAAAGCCCGAGCCAAAGCAGTGGTGTGCGCGGTGTGGGCCATCTCCGCGCTCGTCTCCTTCCTCCCGATCCTCATGCACTGGTCCCGGGACAGCGTGGACACGGACTGCTACGACAACCCCAAATGTTGTGATTTCGTGACTAACAGAGCGTACGCCATCTCCTCCTCTGTCATCTCCTTTTACATCCCGCTCCTGGTCATGATCTTCGTGTACGCGCGGGTTTACAGAGAAGCCAAGAAGCAGGTGAGGAAGATTGACCAGTGCGAGGGCAGGTTCCACAACAGTCTAACGGGACTCACGTCGAAGTGCAAGAAAAGACCGTCCAAAATACTCGCGCTGCGGGAACAGAAGGCGCTCAAGACTCTGGGAATAATAATGGGGACTTTTACTTTATGCTGGTTACCGTTCTTCATAGTGAACGTGGTGCGTGTGTTTTACGCAGAAGTCGTGGATAAGAATCTGTTTGTTTTCCTGAACTGGCTCGGTTACGTCAACTCTGCCTTTAACCCCATCATCTACTGCAGGAGCCCGGACTTTAGGAAAGCGTTCAAGCGGCTGCTGTGCTGTCCGCGGCAGGCAGACCGCAGGCTCCACATCAGCTCCTGTGACTTATCCAAGTGTGGAGGCTTCGTGCTGTCCCCTCTGGAGCCCGGGACCTTCGGGATGTGGACAGACAACAGCGACAGCAGCCTGGTCGGGGGGGCCAAGCTGGGGCACTCTGAGTCCAGCCTCTGAAAAGGATAAAGTTGCGCGTAAAGAGATTCCAAACAGTCTTTTTCATCCACACGTGACCCTTGGATGAAGAGACACTCATTCATAACTTTGGGCCTTCACGCTGGGTTCAGGTCCAATCCCAATCTCATGTTTCCAAATGCGTAATGCGTAATGCGTAATTGTGCCATGGAAAAAACGATCTGTGGAAATTACGCGTGTGAAAAGTTTGCGTAAAATGGTTTTGTGGATTCCACCGTGAGACGTCATTTGTGCGTAAATCTGTGGGTTCCTGAAAGTCAATCCCTCCAGACCCAGACCCAGACTTCAGCACAACAGACCCAGACTTCAGCCCGTGTCCCTGACGAGGCCTCAAAGACGACGCCATGTTTTACGCACGGACTGACCGTGTTACCTCAGAGCTCGGCAAGTGCAATTGACCTGTTTATGTGTAAACAATGTATTTATTCTTTTTATATAAATATGAAAACTATGAACCACGTGAGAGCACGAGGAGGACGTAAGTGCCACGTGAGGTTACGTCCCGTGTAAATATCCAAACTTTAAGATTTAAGATATTTTTAATCTGAGCAAAAACTGTGAAGGAAACACGACTGTTACACAGATGTGACGATACAGATGTGACGATACAGATGTGACGATACAGATGTGACGATACGATACAGATGTGATGATACAGATGTGACGATACAGATGTGACGATACAGATGTGACGATACAGATGTGACGATACGATACAGATGTGACGATACAGATGTGACGATACGATACAGATGTGACGATACAGATGTGACGATACGATACAGATGTGATGATGCAGATGTGACGATACGATACAGATGTGATGATGCAGATGTGACGATACGATACAGATGTGACGATACAGATGTGACGATACGATACAGATGTGATGATACAGATGTGACGATACAGATGTGACGATACGATACAGATGTGACGATACAGATGTGACGATACAGATGTGACGATACGATACAGATGTGACGATACAGATGTGACGATACGATACAGATGTGATGATGCAGATGTGACGATACGATACAGATGTGATGATACAGATGTGACGATACAGATGTGACGATACGATACAGATGTGACGATACAGATGTGACGATACAGATGTGATGATACATTTCTATTGAAGATGCTACAATATGATTCAAACACAGCTTTATCTGCTACTGTTGTGTTATGTGATGCTGGATGCACTGCCATGGGTCCCTGGACTGAGGTCCCTGGACTGAGGTCTCTGAACTGAGGTCCCTGGACTGAGGTCCCTGGACTGAGGTCGCTGGACTGAGGTCTCTGGAGACATGATGGACTGGATATGATTCAATGTGTTCAATGTTTACATGTGTCTCTGCTGCTCTGTGGGCGATCAGGGTTTATGATCCATGGTACCTGTGGTACCTGTGGTACATATGGTACCTATGGAACAGATGTGGTACCTATGGTACAGATGTACCACAGGTACCACATCTGGTTGGATTTCCTGGTAACGTCTGTGACTGAATGATTCCATCTTTGAACGTTTAATTAAACTGTTTTCATGTTTTAACAAGACTCTGGTCTGTGTCAGAAAGAAAGAGAGAGAGACAGAGAGAGAGAGAAAGAAAGAAAGAGAGAGAGACAGAGAGAGAGAGAGACAGAGAGAGACAGAGAGAGAGAGAAAGACAGAGAGAGAGAGAGAGAGAGACAGAGAGACAGAGACAGAGAGAGAGAGACAGAGAGAGAGAGACAGAGAGAGAGACAGAGAGACAGAGACAGAGAGAGAGAGAGACAGAGACAGAGAGAGACAGAGAGAGAGAGACAGAGAGAGAGAGAGACAGCGACAGAGAGACAGAGAGAGCGAGACAGAGAGAGAGAGAGACAGAGAGAGAGAGACAGAGAGAGAGAGAGACAGAGAGAGAGAGACAGAGAGAGAGAGACAGAGAGAGAGAGAGACAGAGAGAGAGAGACAGAGAGAGAGAGACAGAGACAGATCCAATATCCCACAGTTTTGTGAATTGACAAAATTAATATAAATTCTTTATGCTCTCTCCTCATTGGTTGAACTATTCTCTGGTAAATCCTGCAGATGGTGAAGGTTAAAGGTCAATCATTGACAGCTGTGCAAAAACAGGCAATCACAACTTTTTTTGCATGTTCTCCCCGTGTCTGCGTAGGTTTCCTCCAGGTGCTCCGGTCTCTCCTAACACTAAAAAAAACATGTACAGTAGATCTGAGTGAGTTTCTACCATCGTTCTATAAAATACACTTCATAAACACAGATTCATTACATAAACTAATTGAAAGAAGGACAATTGTGTTAGTTCTCCTCCCGCCAACAGGACTTATTTACTCTATTTACCAGTGCTAACAAAGACCATGTAATGACAAAACAAACAGAGAGATCCAGAGTCTGCTCTTCGGCCACGGACGCTTCTCTCTGTGTCTCGTGGCTTTGTCTCATCAGTAAATCCTGGACTGACACCGGAGCGTAAACAAGATGGCGGCTGCTGTTATGGAGCAGATCTGCAGCTATTCTCTGGGGAATAATAATTAGCCCTGAAGCTGTAACCTCCTTTAAAATGCATTTGCGCGACATGCTTTGCTAACGACCCTCCAGACTCAGGGACGCTGCAGAAGGACCGGGGTCGGATTCAGCGGCAGATGATGGGGACGTTAAAATGACAGAATAACAGGTTTTCCTGGTTTTTGTTGTTCTCATTTTGTCTGTGATTGTTGATGTTAATCTGTGGGATGAGAGATACTGCGTCTTTCATCTTCAGAAGTCTGGCACAAATACTAAATACAGTACCTTGCGAAAGTATTCAGCCCCCTTGAACCTTTCAACATTTTGCCACATTTCAGGCTTCAAACATAAAGATATACAAATGTAATTTTTTGTCATGAATCAACAACAAGTGGGACACAATCGTGAAGTGGAATGAAATTTGTTGGATAATTTAAACTTTTTTAACAAATAAAAAACTGAAAAGTGGGGCGTGCAATATTATTGGGCCCCTTTACTTTCAGTGCAGCAAACTCAGTCCAGAAGTTCAGTGAGGATCTTTGAATGATCCAATGTTGTCCTAAATGACTGATGATGATAAATAGAATGTACCTGTGTGTAATCAAGTCTCCGTATAAATGCATCTGCTCTTTGATAGTCTCAGGGTTCTGTTTAAAGCGCAGAGAGAACCATGAAGACAAAGGAACACACCAGGCAGGTCCGAGATACTGTTGTGGAGAAGTTTAAAGCCGGATTTGGATACAAAAAGATTTCCCAAGCTTTAAACATCTCAAGGAGCACTGTACACGCAATTATATTGAAATGGAAGGAGTATCAGACCACTGCAAATCTACCAAGACCCGGCCGTCCCTCCAAACTTTCATCTCAAACAAGGAGAAGACTGATCAGAGATGCAGCCAAGAGGCCCATGATCACTCTGGATGAACTGCAGATAACTACAGCTGAGGTGGGGATGGTGTGTTCAGGGTGATGAGCTGTGTTGCTTTTACGCCAAACATATCGTTTTGCATTGTGGCCAAAAAGTTCCATTTTGGTTTCATCTGACCAGAGCACCTTCTTCCACATGTTTGGTGTGTCTCCCAGGTGGCTTGTGGCAAACTTTAAACAAGACTTTTTATGGATATCTTTGAGAAATGGCTTTCTTCTTGCCACTCTTCCATAAAGGCCAGATTTGTGCAGTGCACGACTGATTGTTGTCCTATGGACAGACTCTCCCACCTCGACTCAGGTGGGAGAGTCTGTCCTCACCTCAGCTGAAAATGACTTTGTGACTTTAATAGGAAGTGTGTTTATGAGAATATATTAATTATTTTAAAACTACCTTTGAATTGTTGCCAAATTCTTGTTTCTGTGAACTCCTGTAGAGAGAGGGTGGAGCTCAGAGTAGAGCCGCTGCTTCGCCACGTCGAGAGAAACCAGTTGAGGAGGCTCCAGGACTTCTCCGTGGGGAGGTGTTCCAGGAGGAGACCAGGAGGAGACCAGGAGGACACCAGGAGAACACCAGGAGGAGACCAGGAGGACACCAGGAGGAGACCAGGAGACTAGGAGGAGAGCAGAAGGAGACCAGGAAGAGAGGAGGAGACCAGGAGGACACCAGAAGGAGACCAGGAGGAGACCAGGACACCAGGAGGACACCAGGAGGACACAAGGAGGGGCAGATTATCGCTGGTGTTGGGGCAGATTAGCGCTGGCGTTGGGGCAGATTAGCGCTGGTGTTGGGGCAGATTATCGCTGGTGTTGGGGCAGATTATCGCTGCGCTCACAGATGGAGAATCCAAACAAAATCGGCCTAAAGTGTTCCTGAGCAGGACCCAGAGCGGCTTCTGTTTGACAACAACAGAGTTCACAGACTGGGATTACACACTGGGATTACAGACTGGGATTAAGACGATACTGAGTTTAAAGTGTGTTTATGGAGAAGGACTTTGGCAGAACTAACACGGCTCACGATGGCTGCACAAGGCTTCGTTACAAAAACACACAGACGGCTTCACGGTAATCCTCCAAACAACACAACACTGTTTGTTTCATTTCTGTACCTTTTACCGTGTTTTATGTATGTACTTGTTTTGTGCACACTGTGGGGACTTTTGTTAATGTATTCCACTGTGGTTTTACTGCAAATGGAAAATAAATGAATCTGAATCTGGGTTTGTCATTGACCGGAGCCTCCAGACCTCTACAGCCTCAGTCCTGGATTGACGTGGTGAGTTCTGGCGCCCGGATCACAGACTTTCTGATTGGTGAACCGGTGGAGGGCGGGACATCGAAATGAAAACAATAACAAGATTTAGAGGCTGGAAAAGTAATTTAGAAATTCATATATCTCTGAACTACTGTTATCAGTTAAAGAAGGATTGGAAAAGAGCGTTTTATTATTATGACAGATTAGGGCCCTTTAACGATGACAGATTAGGGCCCTTTAATTTTGACAGATTAGGGCCCTTTAATGATGACAGATTAGGGC